AACGAGATGCCGAAGAAGAAGGAGAAGAAGATATTGAAGAATTAGAAGAAATAGAAGAATAAAATCTCACATAATATACACATAGAATATGTTTTTAACATTATTCTATGTGTTTGCATGTAAATATATAATTATACATGCTAGGTATTACTTCGAAAACGATATCCCACGTGAATTAGATGTATAAAATACTTTAAGTAATAACTTAACGTTTAATTATGCTAATGCTAATATTCTTATTTAATTTATGAAGTATATTTTATATTATAAATTTATATGTTTTTATCGAAATAAATTATTTTTATACAAAAATTATACACGTTAAGTGTTAAAATTAAATGTGTGCATTCCTTATAATGTTAGCAATCATAGGAAATAGTATAGTTGAGAAAATGTTCGTGAAGAAAAATTGACATACTTATTGACATAGACTGTACATTCAACGGTACTACTTTGAAATAGAGACAAATGCATACTTTAGACGAACTGGAGGAGGCCATTGATCTCTCTTGATGATTCTACTCGTTCATTCGTTTCTTTTTTTGTTTTTTTTTTTTTTAATTTCTAAATAACACCTTATACGAATAAACCATTGAATCAAATCTCGATATATCTTCATATTAAAGAAAAATTCATTCAATTACTTATGGATTCTAAACGAAGATATATAAATATTCCAATTGAATTAATTTGAATAAATTATTTTATCTAACGTTTATACTCTTGTCGATAATATTCTCTACGATTACAAAAATAACAAAGTTTAATCCTTTTTTTTTTTGCTTTTGTAGAAAGTATTCTAATTTATTTTAATAAGTCGTGAAACTGGTCGTAATTATTCTTAAAACGACAAACAGAAATACTTCTTAAGAACGTTTTTAGAAAGTAGAAAAACTCGTGATATCTTAGAATTTTCAATATCAATCTAAACTCTTTATAAATATTGTCTTTAAATGAATTCTGATTAATTTGACATTAATTATTCAAATATTCTTAACCCTTTATATATTCCACAGATCTTTTGGTGCTATCAATTTCAAGGAATTTTTCAGA